ACTTGTTCTGAAAGTTTAAATGACTGAATGTTATTGAAAGAAAGAGTTGCTTACACAAAGTTTAGTTTTTCACGTCATGACACAACGTTATACCTTCATAACGATCTGTAACAAGTCAGAAACAGAATTTCACACTTTCAAATTTATCTCTGTCTAGGATGACGATTATATACTTGAATTCCAAATAAGCAATATTTAATCAACGATACCGATTTCACACAGTTACATATGCGCCCACCCAATCAACTTCTGCCGTCGCGTAGCCAGCAACAAACAACAGGAAAAAACAATACTCCAGAGATGATAATGCCTGAAGCTGCACAAATGCCCAAATCGTTCTTGCTTAGGAAAAAAGTGACTCTTATCACTGGCCTGTTGAAGCCATCACCCTGTTAATTCTAAACGAGAACTCGACATGTCCTGACGTTCATTATTTAGAAAGAGAGAACAAAATAATTGTTTTAACTTGTCTGATGCAGGGAATGAATGTCCATGGTGCATGAATGCAGTGAACGTTCCAAGACTCTTCTGATATACGATGCTACCAATGCCTGGACTGACATAATTGTCTCCCCGCATCGATTGCCCAACATAACTTTATTTAATAGACGACGGAGAAGTTACTGACAGAACAAGTTGTTATCTGATCCTGACTGTAATTATCATATATGAATATATATTAGGGCAGACTTCAGAGGCCAACAAAACATGTACATATCAATTACGAACTTTATGTATGTGCATGTACCATAAACTTAAGCTGTAAAAAAAAATTTGCAAGCAGACTAAAAACAGAGGTTAACAGCGGAAATTCACTGACGATGATTTAAATGACACAATTTTGCATCTGGACATTCACTTGCAATTAGTAATGAGATAGTGAATGGCAACAAATATATAAGACCTCCGTAGACGATGTGAATTTATTTGCTTTCTTCTCGATGCAACTGTGAAATGATATGAAATGAAACGTTATACTAGTCGTTCAGGACGGCAAAATCTGTCTGAGTCAAGTAGCAAAATTTTCACTGCTGCAAACAATGTTTGTGATAAGAGATACATGCTTAAAAATCGCATCCGCTGCTGCAATGATTTAATACAGTTCTTCCTATAGGCCAAGCTGACAAATTTCGTTTCTCGGCTGCTCAAACTTTCTTAGCCCTGAATTAAAAATGACAAGTTTTCTAAACGCTAGTTTTCTAAACAATGACAAGTTTTCTAAACGTTTCACTTTACCTCTGTACATTCACAATATGTCAGCACATTTAACAGTAATTTAAAATTAATTATTAAAAATTGTCATGAAGCGTTCATAGAACCAAACGACTTTAAAATGGTATACTTAAGGCATTGACGAGAACGTGTTACTTAACCAAAGTCACCGAATCTTAACAACAGAAAAATCAGTCTTTCAATCAGGTAATTTTGTCTGTCCTTTCACGATATAATCTATCTTTAGAGGATCAAGACAGTTTTAAGTCTCATGTGCTTTTGGACAATACTGGACCGATTCAAAGTATGTAGAAAGAAAAATCATCTGAAACTAATATGCTCATAACATTTTTGTTATAGCCTTCGAACTAATGTTGAATACATTCAAGTGTCCACAAATTGCATGTGCGTTTGACAAGGATATGTGCTTATTCTACGGTCGCCGAAATGCCTTCAAGCAATCCAGGAGCAGAGTCGGATACAGCGTGTTCGGCATCGAATCTGATTTCTCAGGAAGTACATCCTAAATTATACTGTTCGCCAACGGTTTACAAATAATCACTGATTTCAGCCGGTGGTTTTGCATACGCATCCAGTTCGATAGCAGATCGAAATACTTTTATGCTGTTCTCTCAGCCATTTTTCACTGAAGCTGAAGGCGTAATAACGTTTCAGTATTATCTACCAAACACAACTGGAACCTTAACTTTCTGTGATCAGGACATATGCAAACTGATCGCACGAAATTCCCAAACAACTGCTTCCAGGAATTTATTCCGGTGGAAAAATGGCAAAACTCAAATCAAACGTGGAAAGCACGAAGTAAGAAAAAGTTAAAACTTTTACTAACAGTCAACTAAACTTCAATTCATTACACGCTTATGATATACATCTTGTTCATTTCTTTTAAAAAATACAGCTTTAAGCGTGAGCGACTTCTAAATTTCGATCCGACGTTTCCGCTTCCAGGACGAAGCCACCACGACAGTGAAATAAAAAGCTTTCAACATAGGAGCTATTGTAGATATGTGATCTACAGGTACACAAATGTTTCTAAACATTGTACTGTAAGCAGCGAAGTCTAAAAAATCACATCCTGAGATATAGTCGATCCAAGGCTGAACGAAAGCCTTTCCAATACCGTTTATGTCTAATGATTGGCGTTTCGCAGCCGAACCGCAACGTTGCCAGCAAAAACAGATTGAAAACTTTCCGCTTTAAACACAAAGGCAGTTTCCCGGATAGAATAACTTCCAGTCTTCCAAAAGTGCTCCATGCCATTTTCATTTCTCTGTTGACGTCACCTTGTTCACTGTCCGCTGCAGAGATGAATTCTTTAAAGAAACTTAATTTATCACTTTTCAAGCTTAAGTTTGTTCACTTGGCACTTCAGCTACTCGCGTGGCCACGTGTTTGATAAACACATGGTTCTTCTGCAGGTTCATTTTTAGTACCACTTTCATATTGACGTGTTCAGTTCTCAGATTTTTCTTTGGCGTCCTCACTCCCTTAAGAGTGGGGTATCGGAATATCATCCGCAAGCCTCAGGTAGGTTCAGTAGTGACAAATTCTGTTCAGCCCTTGATTTTCCCAACTAATTGACTTGAAAGTCCCTTTCAGGGTCGCTCTGAATAACATAATTAATACGGTGTTTTCCTTTTAAACGAACGAACGTTTACCTTTTAGTATTTAAACTACCTGCAAACTAGCAATTGCGTTCTTTTGAATCATAGCGATCACGAATATGTGTCTTTAATCTATTCCCAAGCTGCTCAGGAAGTCAAGTATAGAATGGATATATACTGGGTGGAAAACCTTCTTGAAATCGACAAACCCCAACCAGGGAGGAAGCTGATATTTGTTGCTTCTTTGAATTATTTATTATATCACTTGCAAATCGTCCATCATATTATCCGCTTTTGAATCCTGGTGGCTCCTTCGGCTGTTCGGCGTCTAGTTCATCTTGAAGTCTGTTCGTCAGTTCTTTCCTTAAGATGTTCCAGAAGATTGGCGACAATCTGATCAGCATGCAATTCTTCAAATAATTTCGGTCTCCCTTGTTGTGAAGTAGAATATCATCGATGCAGAATGGAATGGTCTCTAATTTTAACTTCTTTTGGAAGTGGGAAAAATTCAAGGAAGAAAATTGAACGAATCAGATCAAAACGTTAGAGTGAACGGAAATTGAACATTAGGGTTGGAATCACATGAAAGACCTCCAAGATGAAGGACTGAAGTTGCAGTTGAAGATCATTATATTTGTTAATGAAGTGGACTGTACTTCATAATAAAGCATTGAACCTTCGTCTAAATATATCGAAGTAGAAAATTCGTCTCTGTTCTGCTATGCCATTAAATTAAGTTGGTTTTCGGAAGTTGTTTGAAATTTACCGACTATGAAACTAATTCTTTTTATGTTCTTTAGATATTGTACTTTCGATAGAAAGATTCATCAAAATATTACGCATTTTCTTCTTGAGATTATGTCAGGTTAAAGGCAGCAAAACGATAAATAGCACGTTTCTTCATTATTTGGTTCATATGGTTATTAAATTGCTCATTCAATAATTTATTCATTAGTTCGTTCATTCATTTTCACTTCCTGAAATGCACTTAGAATTGTGACTGAACAGTTTATGAAGGTTTCTCAAATGGTTTTGCTTTTTTTCCAACGGTGGAATTCACAAACGTTGAATTCCAACAAGCGGACAGTGCCAGCTGCTCGCACATTCGTCTTTTGCTAACTTTTAAACAGTTTGAAATGAGATAAAAAACTGCATTACAATGTCAAAGTATTGCTTTTAGGAAAGTGAGACCTAAAATATTGGTTTCATGACATTTTTAAACGATTTGAATGTTTTGTTGATAACTGACGTTACCGTTTTAGTTGCTATATATTGCGTCCATCATTCAATGTTCGATTTTTCTTTATGTCAGATTTCCTTGAAAAATGCTTGAATTTTCTAGCGGCCACAATCAGTCTGTAGACCAAATAACTTGTAACTACTTTTAATTTATTGCTAATTTATAATCAGTTAATTTTATTAGTCTGAAGAACAACGATTGGAATCAACACAAACTAACGTACTTCTGTACATTTCAGAAAAATGGCAGTTTTAATAATAAAACGGCATGAAATTAAATCATTCATTAACTGCACTGGAAATCTGCAATTTGATTATGAATGGCTAATTATTTCTTGCTTCGTTGTCATTAAACTTTTCTTCACTGTGCTACTATAGATTCAGTTCGTCTTTGAAAACATATCTCGGCATTATACTGTTGGACTGGACAACGTTCAGATCTGGGATAGTAGTCTGACGAGCGAACTGCCTTGCCGTGTAATGTTTATCTTTCAAATTTTGTTCCAGGTGAACTTTGCTTTAATTTTAGGACCGTCGTTATATGCTTTAAATAAAGAAATTTTATCGCTGGGCGGTGCATTCGACTGCAGACGATGTCTTGAGACTACATTCCACCTATTTGTTTCTTATGAATGGAATTAAACATTATTTTTGAAGTTAATATTGATTTAAGGACAATATTTGAGAAAAGAAGTCTTCGAGAAAAGGGCTCATGATGTTACAGCTAAAAGTGCAAAGATAAGACGAAAAGATTTAAATTTAATTTTCCGACAACCAATCAGACAATGCCACGAATTCATTACACGGACATGAAATTTTATGTCCTCTTAATGAAACTGTTATATTGTCAGAAACATCGCCCTAAATTAAAATTACTTTTCATTTGGATATGTTTATGAAGTTATTCTGTTTATATATGCTTTGTGGATATTGAGTAAGCCCATAACTGTGATCCGCAGAACAACTCACTACAATGGATGTGATTGTGAACATATAGAATCAGTAGATAGTTGCTACGGGTCATTCAGTCAAGATATGCTGAAAGCAGGTGATGCGTCCGAGTAAATGGCGTCAGACCTAGTAGCCTTGGCAGTGTTCCCGTCAGGGCTGCGTTCTGTTCTCTCTTCTGTTCGTGTCTATCTATAGTCATGGGGCGACGAGTATATCAACGTATTAGATGTCGAGACTAGAAGGCTGCTGTTGGCATCTCCTCAAATTGATCTCCGTTGTTCTCTGAAAAGGTTTGCAGCCGAGTGTGACGTTGCCATCATGCGTGTTATCATGCCAAAAACGAAAAGCCTAGTGCTTTCTCATTCTCTTGCCAGTTGCTGTCATCATAAAAACGGAGAAGGAGTGGAACAACTAGTGACGTTGAAGTACATCGG